AAAAGTATCGGAAGATTCGAACCGAAATTAACTATCTTTATATTTATAAAGAAATATAAAGCTAAAGCTACGTGTATTGTTATATTGTTGTATGTTGATAGGCGACATAACGTTCGGCAGGTTCGACTGTTGTTTTGTTTCTTTTCAGTATTTAATAAAAATAATCTTTGATATATAGAAATAAACTTTAAAAGATAATCTAATATTTTTGTTTTTCAATTATAACCTTTATATATTCGTTATTTCAATATAGTATTTTATAAACTAATTAATTATAAGCTTATTCTTATTACCATACCATATGATCAATTAGTATATTAACTCACAAATCAAAAATTATAATGAAATATACAATTAATAAGATAATTTTCGTTATTACAGTATGCATTGATCGTATCTTCAATACAGTACGTCGTAATATTCCTATTAATTACACTAAGTGATGAATAATTTAGTTAATAAAATGAAAAAAGAAAAAACACCGCAAACTATTAAATTATATTTTCTATTATTTAAAATTTCATTCTAACAAATTATCTATAAATCAATGATAATTAATGGAAAGTAAGACTATGATACAATATGCCTTCCCGGTTATAACATTTATAAATTGAATTCGAAATGACCATATAATTTTACGCGTACTTGACGTGCTATAAGAGTAGTCATAAATTGAACATATATATATAAACTATAAAATAATATGTTACATAAATAATTTCTCTTTTTTGCTATCTATAAATTGAATTATTTCTATTTAAATTATAAAACATAAAACAAAAAAGAAAATAGGCTGCTAATTAATATTTGAAGTAATTCTTTTTCCCTACAAATAATAAAATCTTATACTATATGTTGTAATATATAAAATATCAAATATAATCTATACATATATTGGATAAAGATGAAAACAAGAAAATGAAATTGTCATTTTTGCCGTAAATAAAATTGATGATCGATCAATAAAAGAAAGCTTATAAAGCAACCTAATTTGTCTATTACCATAGGAAATAATAATATTAGCAATGTTAGAATTAAAACCTCCTCAGTAATATCTGCATACGTAAATTATTTAATGATTTTCTTAATTTCTATTTTATTCCTTACTTACTGGCATAATTACACTAATTATAATTCATTCTCAAAGAGCACAATAAATTATAAATTATCATAAGAAATATGAGAAAGATAATCATATCAAGCAATTTTTGGAAATAAAAATGAAAATAATTTTTATTTATACCATTAATTAATATATTTCAATAATTAAACAAAATTTATAAAAAACATAAATACAAATAAAACACAAAAACAATAAAGAAAAATTCTATTGTTTCAACAAATTTATTCATATATTTTAGAACTATTATAAAATAAAATACAAAACATAATTTATCTAACAAATAATTTTGAAATGAAATTGCAAGTTTAATGAATTAGACAAAAAAATCATGAATTAAAGTTAATTTTTATCGACTATTTCATATTAGCTCAAAACAAATTAATTAACAAAAAAATAAGATTAGAATAGATTCACAATCATTTGATATCATTATTGATAATGAATACATCATCAATTTCTATCCTTGTTCCTATACTATATTATCAATATCATCTTTGAAGATGAATGATTATGGATATATATATCTATCATTCTTAATGACAAATGTTATATTATTTCTTGATAACAAATGATAACATTATATATCGCTATTATTTACCGTCTTTGATAATTTATGATAATAAAAATGCGTATGTTACATTTCAATATGATACAATTATGATGAACAACATTGGCAAGCTTTTTAAATATTTTGCTGAATTAAATAAATAATTCATTTATTTAAACAGATGTGATGAAAGCATTAAAAAGAAGTATAGACTAATAAGGCAATTAATTATAGATTTAATTTTAGCTGTTTGAAAATTAATACCAAAAAAAAATTATTTAATATTACAAAAAATTAGATATATTCTCACGATAAGATGGAAAAGATGGAAAATTGAATGGTTATTTTTGAATAAAGATAAACAAATATAGAGATAGATCATATTTATCAATTATATCAATACTAATACGATTCATATTTGTTGACAATATGCACATTCACCAATACTATTCTAATTGCTGAAAGCTTTCTCTATCAATTCTCCTTTTAATATTATTTCAATTCTATATCATACATATGATCTATCCCAATCTTCAATCAACCATAATTAATGATAACAAATAACGGATAAAAGATTGCACAAACAAAAACAACATTTATTATAGGTATCTATATGTAGGAACATTACGTCAAAATATGCAGTATTACGACTGATGCTTACTTACAACATAATAAATTGAATGAATGATTACTGCGGTATAAAGTATAAGGGCAAAAGATCAAAGTTCCATTTGCTTATATATTTAAATAAATTTCACATTATTCTTCATTACATAAGTAATGTGAAGTGAAGTACCATTGATTATGGCAATCTATATCACACTATTATTGATTACTGGATGTTAAAAACAAATTGACAATTGAAATGTGAAGAAGAAGAGAATAAAGAATGAAGAATGAAATTTGAGATGGCAATCTCTCTAACATACAACACAATGAAATAGAAAGTTAGAAATCATTAATTGATAAGTTTCTGAATAAGCCTAATTAATGTTGTAAAAGAAAAAACAAAAATAAGCAGTAAGTTCTAAGAAATGAAATATGGATTTGCTCTCTTCAGAGCAAACAAATAATTTGGTGTGCAAGTTAAGAGTTATTGGATTTTTTTTTTATGTTGAGATAATATGAAGACATATACACATGAAATATTTGCTTCTAAATTTAATTGATCAGAATTTGCTGCTGAAATTCAAATCTATTCCATTATATATAAGCGTATGATTGAAAATAAAGATATTTTAAATCCGAATTTTGATAATTTACATTTATAAAACAGCAGCATACTAAAAATCGAGATATAATTTAGCGGAAGAGTTATCAATTAGTGATTATAATTATCTACCGATAAAAATGCTAAATTCCTACAGATTATACACATATTATAATTCAACAATTTGTGATGCCCATTCCAGCGTATTGCGGAAATTTCCATTTCTGCAATTGGAAAAAAGTGGAAAAAAGCTAATATCTGAAAGAAAAAATGGATCAATATATGCGAATGAAAAACATGAAGAAATTGAACAGATTAACAATTAAAAAGATTAAAATTTATTGTTTTTCATAAGATGCATAAAAGTTGAGAAATCAAATATCGCAGAAACAAATCATTAAAGTAACGATGCTTATTAAATTACTGTTATCTCCTTTTTCTTCCCTTCCCAGAAACTAGAGCAATAGGACGGAATATGTACAGCTGGAATATTGGTCGCTATGTGTAATAGATCTATAATTAAGACTGGCTCATTAATTTTCTCAAACATGGAAATCAGTAATTTGATCGCAGCGCATTTAATTCCTCTTTTTATACTATTCTGAATTTCTGGTTTACAGAGACAATTTATTTGTTTTAAATTTTCCTACCGAAAATTTCTTTGTTATATCCATGACATATTAATTATCAAAGCATTGGTTAACAAACAACTGAACTTCCGTTGAACAACAGTTACAGAATGTATCATCAAAAACACTGAGATTTCTTTAAAAGCTCTGCAAATTGAGCATATGAGCAAATTAAGTTGAAGGCTATTTTGAAAACAGTATACAGAGAAAATCAGTCTAAATCGAAAGTATAAGCTTTTTAATATCACTCAGAAATTAAAGCAATATTCTAGCTATGCATTTAATTTTTGAATTGCTGGCTCAAATATTCAACTTACATTATGTCTGCACCGAATTGTCTAAGATTCTAAAAAAAGAGAAAAATCATTCCTAAAAGAAAGATGCAAAGATCAATCGCGCACAACCGATATCAATTATACTTCCGTGATGTAAGTACGCAATTTCATGTCTGTAATTCATGCTGCTGGAGGCTGTGCATGAACAAAGAAGAATATTCGTGACACTATCATCACTACTTTTGTATGTTATTCCATCAACACGAAAACAATCGCCATGTTTCAGAACCAGCTCAAACCGTCGAGTTACCTTAAAAAAATCAAAACATGATATTCTTCAATTACTAGATTAGAATATGAATTGCAGTTTTATTGTCAAGTTTTTTCTGGAAAAACCAAAATTTTTGGAAAACTACTCAATTCCTTCATTCCTTGAGGAAGAAATTTGTGAGGAATTTTATCTGCGCAATTTCTCGAAATGATATTCCAAATGATGTCAAATGACAGACCAATCTACTGTCGCTGTCCTGAACCGATTTGAAATACTGAATTTTTCATCGAGAAAGTTAGCTTTACAAGAAATCAGTGGAAACTGTACGGATCAACAGAATTCAAAAAACAAAGTGCAGCGCAAGCCAGTAAACTCGAATGTCAAAATAAACAAATAAATAAGTACAACAGCAATCTGACATCAAAAGGAGAATCATATCACAGCGAAACGATAGGAAAGCTTACTTTATTGAATAGTAAAGCAGCATGACGTCCAGCGATTGCTCGACAAAGCGGTGCAACTTTTGTTAGGTTAAGATCACAAGACGAATCGATGCCTATAGTCGTGTTCACTTGCTGCACAGGATAAGCATCCATATCATTGGCTTTTAATACGGCAAGCACTGGCATATCATCATGCAAAATTTCTGCAACCAAAAGACATTATAAAAAATTTCATTTAAACTTCGCAATTAAGATATTTGTCATCCTTTTTTTAGAAATATGAATCAAAAATAACGATGCTCGTTGACAATGAACGAAATACACATAAATTTTTTTCCTGCAGTGATTGCATTAGCAATCTGCTATTTATTTATTCCAGTGAAAAGCTTTGCTTCTCACATAACTTTCTCGTCTACTTATTTGGTAATATCCAGAAAATTAACTTTTTTCAAATTTCATTTCCTTAATATTCCGAGAGCTTTCTGCGGTACATAGCAACTGCTCCAGTCTCTGACAAGCAAGAGAACCAATAATGCGATATTCTACACTTTCAGAATTTTCCATCAGTGACAGGCAGCCGCGTCGAACGCGCTTTAACAATGACAGTTCTACGAAATTTGTCTGAAAAAACAGAAAATGAATGATAGAGCTTAACTTTAAATTCTGGGAACCAAAAATATTTTTCATGATTTAAAACTAAGTTTCAGTTAAAACTATTACCAAACCAGAACACTGCTCATGCACATCGCCTTGCGATTCTGAGTGGGGCTGCCATTTCGTCTCTGTAGCTTCCGCACTCACTGATTCTCTCGTGACATTCGGTATCTTCTCGCAAGTATCTTCATCCTGTTTTTCACCGCAAACAGTACTTTTATCTCTAGATAAGTCCAGTTCGACTTGCATTTTTTGCATTCGTATAACATTTCTAAACCACAGATCCTGCTCCTTTTCACTGGGTAATTCATCTTTTTTCCAATGATTCCATCGTGTTTCATACAATTTCTTAATGCAATCAGGAACGGAAAAATATGGACCATTTCTCTAAAAATTGGAACCTCATATAAGAAATATCCATTGAAATTAATTTATGGGATAATTAGCTAAGTAAAATAGAGTGAAAACAATATTATCAACGAGATACGGTGGATCAACGAACCTTGGTAGTGACATCTCCTGCTTCGACAGCAGCTTTTCGTTCCATACGAGCTTTTTTGAGAAATGAAATTTTGACCAAATGTTCATCAATTGGTTGTCTAGCATATTTCTGCCAGACAAGTAACCGTTTACGCAACGAAAGTGTCTTCGCTAATTTTCGATCCTAGAATACTGTTAGTACAGGAATGTTTGAATTTACTAAACTTTAATGGAAATATAATATGTTTAATTTCTATTGTGATTTTATAAAAATTTAATTATTGTCACCTTTCTGGTACAACATCAACAAAAATTTCCATAACACAGAATAAAACAGCAATTCAGAATTTTCGAAAAATCTTTTAGAAGATTTTAACCTCTTGTCACTTTTCTCAGAAATGCATATATTTTTAATGTAAAAATGAAGAATGCAAGGAAATTATTTCTAACAAACAAATAAACAAACAAGTGGTATTTGCTAACCAAAATATGCTCTACATGAGCTGGACACATCCATTTATCCTTAGGCACAGAAGGAAGAGGAGGTGTAAGGCAATCGAGGTGATAACAGAGTGAACAAAAATCACACTGGATCATAGTCGATTTTTCATTTCTTCTGGAATCAGACAGAAAATGGAAAGGATGTCTTGATTTATACAAAAAAAGAAGTAGTGTAACTAAAGAAGATATGTGAAGTAAACGGTGAACTTCCTTACAAATGCTATGAAGATTCATTTAATGATTATTCAATTCACCTAATGTCGGTTTAAAGCTAGAATTGCTCGAACTAATCTAAAAGCTATAGCTTGTAAAAAAAATCAACTAACGATGCACAAAGATGACAGATTGCTTTCGGTGGTGGTAATAACTGTGTAGATGTTAACCGCTCATCGAATGGTAAAGGTGGAATTTCACAAGATAAATCGTGCGGTAAGGAGAATTGTTCAGCATTTGCAGCCAAAGCTGCATCAGCTAATACTGCCAGTGCACTTAGGCCACCATCTGTATTTTGTTCCATAATATTGGATATCGTTCCATGATTTCGGCGTGCATTCTGTGAGGAACAATCAAAATCCTGCAAAAGAAGGCAAAAGTAAGCTGAGGAAATATTATTTCAATTTAAAGCAAGAAGAAAATCCACACAGCTTCTGCACCCACTGGTTTCTACAAAAGAAACAAACATGATCACTCTGATTAACGGAGTTTTCATGAAGATGTGCATTAAATATACTAGTTAATAAACTGAAAAAATTTAGCGATTCAGATATTTTTAGATATTACACAATATTACTGATAGTAATTTGATCTGACTTGATACTAATGATTATATCAATATATCAGTTATTTCTGGAAATTAATAATCAACAATACTGATGTATTTAGTAATGTTTTAGGTTTTGCTTTAAGTTTTGTTTTAAGATAAATGAATATGTGATATGAATTCGGAAAATAAAAATCTGATGTAATTTTATATTTTTCTGTTTACGTGTCAAAGCTTGAATCAGATGTTTGTTTCGTCCAAGATATCACAAATAAACTACAGTTAAATTTCGATGAGACAACTCCATAATAATCCCTCAAAATTTTAAGGACACATACTTTTCTAATCACATCTAGGTTTCAAACCTTTTATTTGAGTAGGATTTCTTAGAAAATCCAGAAATCGACTGAGAAAAAATTTAACTACTAATGATGTGATAAATAATTTGTATAAGTTATCCGCATAAGTTCACTTCGTATAAATCCAAATTCTGTTTCAGCATGCTAGATATCAAGTTCGTTACGAACAAATATTAGATTCAATTGAGATAAGAAAATCTGTAGTGCTAGATTAATCCTGCTAAAAATTTAAAAAATGTAAATTTACTTTTGGTACTTTTTTGTTTATCTTCGGACTAGCATTGTGTGTCACTGCATGAGTACAACGGTTACATAACCATTTTCCACTCGGAATAGAACTTCGTTCAATAGGTGGCTCATGACACATCAAATGGAATGATGCTGGGCAACGATCACAGCATAAAAGCTCACCACCCTCCTGCAAAATCGTCTATAAATTATAATTCTAATATTTGATGAAAGAACAACCGCACAAAGGTCTTGACAGTGTTGTTAAATCTTAATCCCTCATCAAGATGATTAATGTTGAATAATTTCAAACTCAGTTTCATTTTTCAAATTTAAATAAGCAACTTTCATCATTTATTTCCAAGAATACTCGAATTTAAAGAGAAATTTTAATGTACCATGCAGGAACTGCAATACTGAGAATTAATCGATTTCCAACGTCGAGCCGGTTTTTCTTTTATCACTGACGACGTCTTCTTTGCTTTGCTACTTGTTGTTGGACACGCGGTGCAAGCCTCGATATACTGTAACAAACGAAACAACTATAACAGACTATACTCTCCATTACTGTTCAGATCAAAAGATCAACTTCAGAAACCTATTTTCATTTGACTTTTTCTTGAAATTAAGTTGTTGCTTAATTCTTGCAATCCAAAGACATATAATATTCATCTATTTCTCCAACCATATCTATCTCTTATTTTCTTCGCTTATACAATTGCCATCTAACTCATTTAATAACTCTATCATACATCAAACATAATTGTTATAATTTACACATTTATCATAATACTCCTTCTCGTAATATATCAATGATTTCCTGTTACAGACTGTAGCACATTATAGTTGCCGCTATCAATAATATAAAATTTTTATTTTATCTGTCAGATACAACTAATTACCTCCATTATTCAACTAGATAGTGACAAAGGGGTTGATTCTTCTTTATATTTGTAAATATATACAGATCACATACACACACACACGCACACATACACACACACATACAAACTGTACATATATTAATGTGCAAGTAATGGTATTATAAATATTACGAAAGCGTCAAAATCAATTCAAGAAATAAATAACCCATAAAAAAAAACAATTGCCTGAAATTAATTAAAAGGTAGACGAAAAAAAATGCTATAATACCTCGAGAAGGCCAGTATCCTGATCATATACAGGTTCACTACAATCTTTTACGTCGTTATCCATGGCACTGCAATTACGAACACCTTTATACGTTATAATATGGTAAAATGAATAATATCTAAAAGAAAACAAAATAACATATTATTATTTAAATATGAACATTACTACGTGTATCTTTTTTTTCGTGAAGTTATCAAATTATACTGAACAAATTTACTACAAAATATTAAGTTTATGAACCATTTCTCAAACCGGAAATCCGGAATTGCCAATATCATTAAGTGATTTTTCTGCCAAATGAAAACATTTTACATATTTAATCAATTGATGGAAATCAAACCATTATAGTTGATTCATTAACAGAAAAATGATAAAACCATCTATAATCATAGCATGTCATTATCAAATAACATTTTACACATTCCCTCTTCATTCTCTCCCAGACATTCTTAGCATATTCTTAACATAATCATTGTCTTATTTTTTTACATTGCTTTCTTTGAAATTACTCTCTACATTTCTAAATCTTACCTTTGATACGTATCTAAAATGGTTCCGGAAAAACAAAAAGAAAACACTCCGGAACCTGAAGTAACCCCCTACAATTCATAACACGATATGTGGTATTAAATTGGTTGTGAAACTGCTTGTGTTTGCAACTCAAATATGGACCTGTTAGTCAGATTTCGATAATTCGTTTACTTTTCCCGGATTATTAGGATTACCAGAAAGTTTGGGCGATTTCTCAATTTGGCCATCGGTAGTTTTCGGGATTGCTTCACAGTCTATTCAGAATTATTAATGGATTTTGGAATTTCACAGGATAGGTACTTTGATCTTATCAGGAATTGTTAGATTTGTATTATCCTTAAATATTATTACTAAGTATAAGTATATATTCATAATCCATTATTTTTCAGAATGTTCTTTTCTTTTTTCACATCTGTTTAGTGGAATCTTAAAAATTTTTTAGCTAAGCATTTTTTGATGTTATTAGTGGAGTTAAGTTTTCCGCAATCTTCGATTTTCATTTCACGTATTCTACATTTCCGTTTTCAAAGTTCATACGTAACCCTCCAACTTTTTGCTATGCTCTTTATCTTCACTCCATATTTTGTTGAAAATCATTTTGGAACCCAAGTTATCTGTGTTGAAATTGTTCATAATCATTGCAGAAATTTTTCGAAACCTCGAAAATGATATAGATGAATTGGATTTTTCTCCTTTTACTATGTGTAAACATCAATTCAGCACTGATATATACTATGGCAGATACATATAGACAAGAACATTGTTCTGCTTTAGTACCATATGTGGGACCCATGATATTGCGCGAATTCTTAAGTGATTACCGAAATGTAACAATCAGTGGACGAACATTTCGATTACGTCAAAATTGGCAACAGAATGGTGTCGCTGGAGTAATTTGGGATTCGGTATGATTCTCCGGTGGTAATTACTCGCGCTGTACTTATTAATGGTATTATTAGTATGGTCCATAATACATTAAGGTACTTAATAACATGGTGACAATTCATCCGATCACTGTTGCTAGAGTTAAAGGCTTTATTAACTTATCAGTCATTTGACATTTTTATTATTAGATGAAACTGCTTCGTATATCCAATGATTCCATTCTTATGACAAGGTGTTTCTCTCCTTCCAAGTTCAGCAAAGATTAGGAGTTATGATGCAAATTTTTATGTCAAATTTAAGAGTGATTACTACAATCATGGGCAGTCTTTGTTAAATTGATTTTATATTGGGATTGCCACACTTCGAATGATTTTCTCCTTTAACTCAAAAATATAGTCTTGTTTGATTACCACTACTATTCTTACATCTAAAATGAATTTAGTTCTTAAGGGCATCGCTTTGGCTCGGTACATCTCGGAACACCCAGAACTAGTAGCTAATCGCACGGTGCTGGAACTCGGTGCCGGATTGGGCTTACCAAGTATCATTTCAAGCTATCAAGATACTAAACTTATCCACATAACGGACAAAGCAAGCGCTCTAGATTTACTGGAAGAGAATATTCGTCAGAATGCAAATAACGATTGCGATATAAAAATTTTCGCCTTGGATTGGAATGTTGATCAACCGCCGCAAAAATATCAGGTATATAATCAATTTGCGGAACAGAAAGAACAAGATTTAGGAAACGTTCCATTCAACAATAGTTCTCCTTTCCTCATAAATCACCCGAAATTGGTGACTTTATTACGTGGGATGTTTATGCACGTCAGGAAACTATTTTAAAACTATAAAACATTGTTCCACCAAATCTGTTGATCATTAAATACGTTTTCATAATTTGAATGTTCTTCCTGCGTAGAGATATTACATTTTAATAGGATAAATTTAGAGACTGGTGAATATCAAAATAAAAATGTGCATAGTATATTAGAGTTGAAAAAATTTCCGAAGTTCCATGAACGCGAACTATGAATTATTTGTATTTTTCAGGTTATTCTTGGAGCCGATCTTATCTACATTGGCATTACATTTGAACCGCTACTGAAATTATTTCGGGATGCTAGTGATCATGATGCAGTGATATATCTGTCCAGCAAAATACGTTACCAAAGAGACCAAGATTTTCACAGCCAATTTCTGCGGGAACAGTTTGATGTACGGGAAATTTTCTATGAAACTGAGTTTGCTGTAAATATTTTTGAAATTAAAAAATTGACACATTATTGCAACACATAATGTACAGTAATATAATCTCATAGAAATCTTATTTGCGCGTAGGAAAAAATATTTCATAGTGAACAAAGAAAAATGCTACAGCTGATACCGTTACTCTAAGCGTGTGTTGCACTTGCGAAGTTAAGAATTGGTTATCATAAGAAGTGGCTTTTAATCGAAAAATGCTAGTTACCAGATGATCATTGATCTTTAATCAATATTCGCCCACCTAAATTGCCGTTGGCCTGAACTAGTTACACTGTTTTAGATGTACCTCATATTGCTCAATTTCCTATTTGTTAGTGATGAGTGCAAGGAAAAAGCATACCTCATAAATTAAAGTAAAAAATTGCTTATAATTCATAATTATATATCATTTTTTATTAGTAAGCAACAACTCCCATTGTTTATAATTTTTGGAAACCATATCAAATGAGCTCGGCAATCAGTTCCTTTCTTTCTCAATATAATGAATTCGCGCAAGGCATTCAGCGGCAATGGAAATTTCATATTTTTTCATGAAGTTTAAACAGTTGTTACAGATCTCGCTATTTCCCATTTGGCAAGTACAATTCATTCGAATCATTTTTCGCATGAATTCTAGACAGTTGCCATCTTTTTTGCACTTCACTAACGACCGGTGTTGTGGACAAATCCAACATTCGTTTACATCATTTCCTCGATCATCTATAATCAGTTGAAGTAATGAACTTAGTTGCACTATGTTCACTCGAATATCTGCAGCCAATATTTTCTGAAAAAAAGGGAATAACGTACTAGCCAAAATAAAATGTTAATAAGAGGAGGTTGTTGCAGTTCTCTGAAAAATCACTTATCACAGCCATCAAACTTGAAATTCCCAAAATATTTTTGCTTTTAAAAAAGTAGTAAAATCTTTACATTGGCAAGATAGATCGTGGGGAAAACAAGTTTTGATAAATGTTTTTTCAAATTTTCTAAGAATACTTTTTCCAATGTAAATGTCGGTAGTTCTATGATGCGCATTTAAACCATTACAAAGAAGCCTTATGGAACAATGACATATTAAGTGATTACTTCGCAATAGCTGTTGTATTCCGCAGATAAGAAACATGATCTACAATCGGCTAATTCCCTGTCTATATCCATCAGACGTTTAATTACCAGCTCAACAATCAAGTCCGCGTTACTCGCATTAACAAAATTATGGTTGATTGAAACTGTATCTTCCTAAATTTAGAAAACATTATAATATCTAGAATCGCAGAATTCCCATAAAACATAACTTGAAAAGCTTGTTGCGGTCAAAACATGATATTTCTGCAAGTTTTGAGAATGCATTGTAAATTTTATCATTGATTATTCAGACAAAACCACTAGAAGGGAAGAAAAAAGAAATTATGTGACAATTTACATCCTAAGCTTATTGGATGTCGACCAAAACAAGATATAATCGTTCTATTATCCACCACACAATGTTTTTCAAAGTTGTATTCCTCGAACTTTAGATTCAGATTTTCCCGCAAGTTTTAATTTAACGACATTTAAAAATGATATACTGACCAAATTATGTACTTGATGATACCAGTTAGAAGGAACGAAAACAATTTCTCCTTCTTCTTGAATAAATGATATGACAGTAGCCGCGGACCATTTGTCTTGAGCAGTTCGAATATCCTCTAAAAATGTATCACGATCAATTCTAAAGCACTCTTCATTTCTCGGTGGTACAAAATACCAAAGCTTTCGTCCGCAAATATTCGCTGACCAACTATATGAACTCATCACATCAGCATGAAATGGTGTCCTATAATAAATTATTTTCATTGTGCCATATTGTCGACTTAGAGTAAAACAATCATCGAATTGTTTCTGAACTTTCCTTTTAAAATCACTAATTTATTTCAAATTTCATAATTTCTACATTTTTCTAATCCTTTTCTTATGCATATCTTCCTGCATTTTCTAATTTCAATTCATTTATCTTTTTTTCTTAATCTTTTTCTATGACACATTTAAAGGAAAGTTAGAAGAGATCATGAAAGAGGTCATAAAAGTCTTTTTTTACTAATCATAAAAAAAGACTTTTATGACCTCTTTCATCATATCTTCTTTCACAAGCTATTCATATATTTCATCTCATTATTTGCTTATCGATGTCTCAACTTTAAGTGTATCATAGCAAAACAGTATTTTACTACAAAAATTTTTCTTACTAATCTATTCCAATAAAGCCAAACCAAGTGTTTTTGGCTCCGAAATAAACGAAACGATAATCGCCCAGTTTATTACGCTCATCATTTGACCATAGTTCATTGTTTATCCAATCAAAACGTAAAACTGACGGTAATCCATACATTTCGTAGAATGTTCCTGACTCCCTGCAAATAATATATACATCCGAAAAATCGACAAAAAAAATTCACGACAGTTCGTTAAACTATTACTAACTCACTGTTGAAAATGCCAATCTTTGGCATAGCCAATATTATTTAACCCATCGTTCTTTAGCATCATTTCGATATAATTTTTAAGCTTCATTTTTTGAGAGTTCTGGAAGCATGAAGGCTTTTTCTCATAATCCACACACTTCCCACAATTTTCCATTCTCTTATCAATTCTTTCCTTTACCAAAGGTACTTCCATGTGCCCTATAATGTCAGTAACAATACTTATCTTGACAGTAAAAGAAAACGAATGGTCTTCGAAATGAACATATTAAAGTGAATAATAAATTTTGAAGAAAGAGAGTGGCAATAACTCAAACGATGATATCATGTCCTTCAAACAACTAATCACTTGTTGATCAACGATGTAACCAGTATTAATCATTTTTTACAATACGAACAATATATCAGATCAGATCGCCTAACCTAAATCAACCAGAATGTTGCAAACGTTTTGTTAGATATTTCTGCTATTGTTACGTTACGATGATCCATTTAGGATGGGCTTTCTAGATATAATCATAAAAAAACCTACAACTGAAAAGGGAACTAAAAACAGTAAAGAAAAGCATCCATATTCTGGACAAGGGAAAAAACAATAAGACGGATAAATCGCTCAATATTTTAAGACAAATTTTTTGAAGCCGTAAATTATAAGCATATATATCTGTTCAAAAATGATTTTGCTCTGTTTAAAACATTAAAAATTAACCATATTGTTTGATGAGAAACTCGACATTAATAATATTTTTTCCATTCATACATTTCACCCATTGTTTTCGACTTTTCCATTTAGCCATTGTTTTCGTATGCATTCTACAGGGTTGATTTTTAAGCATAAAATCAATGAATATATCAAGTGCCTTTATTTCTTCTAGGCATATCACTGGAAATGATGATGACTCACGTAATTGTGCTTCCATCTTTGACTTCTTAACTTTTCATTTCATCAATATCTGCAAATATTTGTTTAAATTTAAATTTAATACTACTTTCTTCATACATTATGTTGAAATTGTAAACAGCTAAAAAATACATTCTTAAAAAAATTCACATTTCAAATTTCCATATTATTTGTTTCGGTTAATTATATGAACTATGTAAATGAGAATTTTTCAAAATTACATTCTCCGAATGATAAATCATATTTATGTTTCCATTTCAATTCATTTGTTATGCAATTTCCATATTCATTTTAAACAATAGGAAATATCAATGAAAATAGTACTAGTATTAAGGAGAGTGAACAGTGATAAAAATTTATGATATAATTGAGAAAACAAGCAAACATCTGATCTTTGTAGTACGAGTAATGATTATGAATGAAGGAAAAGTTGTCACGTTTCGAAGAGAACGCAGAGATTAAAATGATTCTCGCAATTACAGGAGACAATATATTAGAGATTAATTGACTACAGTAATGAAGAGGAAGCGGAACAGCGAGTAATGCAAACTCATAGCTATAAATTAATTACTTAATTAGTAAAGTCTCAAAAGCTACGCAGCGTTACACTTCAGAGATTTAAAAATTGACTGTTAGCAAAGGATCGTATTCAAATCGCCAAAAGAAGAGTTGAATTTGGTTTTAACATTATGCATAGGCGTTGTGAATCGTTGTTTTGTTTTTAATGTATCAATCAAATCATTATGGTTTTAGGAAGTAATCCAGTTTAAAGCATGAATTGATTTAATGAATTGTAAATCTGAATCGTTTGAGTTGATTTAATGGATGTGAATCTGAATCCTGATCTTATTACTGGTTTGTTTTTCTGTTTTCTATAAACTTATAGCTGTAAATTAATTACTTAATTAGTATAGTCCCAAAAGCTGTGTCGGAGTTATAAAATTTAAGCCATTTTCAAAAGCTTTTGGACGACTACTTTTCAAAATTCACATTTACCTTTTAAGTGCATATGTATATGCAATTTGTATTTCTCTCCTACATTATCTGCCCAAAAAAAAATGGTTCATTCATAAATTCTTTTAAGAAAACAAAGGTTTATATTTTAATGCATTCAAACATTGGTTTTGATGGCTGAAATTTTTGTTCATTAAAATTTGTGTATTATCAACGATTCACTTGTAGTACAACATTCAATATGAATATTTCATTTGCAAATTTCTGCTTTAACGACAAAATGTTGCAAAAGTGCATAATGTCTGATATTTTGGAGCGTTTTTAGCTTTTGGTTTTACACGATTTTGTTCGTATGAATTAGGTTTTAATTATTTTAATAAGTTTTGATTCGAATGGATTTCAAATTCTATTTTCTTTTTTAGAAGCGTGGCGTAGTATAAGGATGAGAGTTCCACTTGATCAATGTATGAATGTTGATGCGAAATCAATGAAGGAGCTATTTTCTGTGTTGGAAGAATTGAATCGACTGTCGAAGCAGGATGATCCAAATTCTGTGCTGGAGTGCAGCAATTTTTCTGAATTGGTTCATTATAATATAATTTCGTAGAGAAGATATTTTTACATATAGCAGTAGCGTACTTTTTTAATATTTCTATACTGATATTGTTTGACTCTTTTATCATTAATTGTGTTCCCAGAATAAGCAACATATGATACGTTTATGGCGCGCAAAAGCAGATGATGATGATATAAAATGGGGTATCGATGTGGTTGTAGCTAATTCGAATATTCGGAAGAGCTTGCATCCAAAGGTTTGGTTGGTTGTTGACGGACAGGAAATTGAAATGAATTTGGAAATGTTTGCTAAATTAAGGTAACAGTTTTATGCCTTCTTCGGTAAATGCTTTTTTATTGCAATAAAAGTTTTTGAAGCTTTAATTTTCAAAGTTTCTTTTTAAAAATTTTTAAATTTTCTGGTATTTTCGTTACGATTTCAGATGGTTACTTATTGTGTATTTCAGTTTGCTGTTTTGAGTACTTGCAGGAATACTTCGATGAATAAGTAATCCTTAAAGCCAAGAGAATTTAGCTCATTGCTTCAAATATTGCAGACAATTCTTTTCAGATTTGAGGTCTCTCGAGCACTGAGTCGGATTGATCGCTATTCATAACTGGCAGCCGGAAGAGGGTAGCTGCTTAAATTTAAATTAGAATTAAATCAGGCGAAGCTTATTTATCCATCAAATATATCATCCGATCCAACCGATTATGGGCGCTTTGATTATAATTGTACTAGGAGAGGATTCGCAATAATTTCGTTTTTGTATATTCAAAATTTCTTTCTCTATTTTGAAGTGAAACTGTCTATATTGCCTTATGTGATTTCTTGAATTATTTTAACTGTTCTTGTGATTCGCGATTTTTTCTGAATGATTTGTGTCATCTTTTCTTTTGTTATGTATGCAGATCATTTTTGTAGCTGTTTTTATTCGCAATTAGTGTAGGAGCCTCTCTTGCTCTACGTTCACGTCTGTTTAATTCGTTTCAATTCAGGATTCGAGCGAATTTACCATTGGAATAAACCATTTACCGTTGAAGTAAGCTTAATTTCAGCAAAAAAAATACCTAAATGTTGTACATAAAATATCATTTCATTGGTGAAATTATTTGCATTTTCTTTTTTTAATACTTTCGAATTTGATGTTATTTATCATATTTTCAAGGTGCAGACTGATTTATATACACTGAGTTTTTTTGTATATGTTCATGCTACTTTTTCTGTTAGCAAAATTCAATGTCTTCTAAGCATCAAAAATTTACTATGTGAAGTTACCTCATTTTCGAATGGAAATCTATGCTTAGTTGGAAAAAGCAACAAAAGAAAAACTGAGCAGATGAAGATTGAATTATTAGTTTCTTCTCTTTCTGTTAACATTGAATTGATAAGGGGAAATTTCGAATGAAGCAGTCATTTTGATGTTAAAAAATAGAAGCAAAATTAGGTTTCTATTGTCAACTAACACGTGTAAAACTAGCAAACCATTCCTTTGAGATTGGTTTATCATCCGTAGATCAATCTGAATGATCACAAATATCGATTGTGATCATTCTTTAAATATGCAGTTTTATTGCCTGACTCTGTAATCAGTTTAATTTTTAAATGTCACAGGGATATTTTCAGATATAAAAGGAAAGTAAATGCTCTTATATTTCGAGATCAAAATATAATATCTGCGAGATTGATAAACAATGTTTTACTATTTAACCAACGGATGCATTAAGCAAAAAATGGATTTGAATTTAAACCTAAACGTAAACAATTCATATTTCATATCTTCTTCGAAACACTGATCTATAATTGTTTTGTCTCAAATTGCAATGACAATTGAAAATATAACTTTTTGAATTAAATATTCATTTTCATCGGAAGTTCCACGATTGAAGGAATAAATGAAAAGATTGAAAACATTTTACTAATTATTAAACTACTTTGTTTTCCTGTTGTTACTACAGAAAGGAATGGTCAAAATTGAAATGTTCAATCAAAGCAATGATAAAAGATTAATTTAATTTGTGGCGGAAGGAATTGTAGAAGAAAGAATATCCCATTTTATATTTAAATCCAAGCATACAATAAAACAAAAATTCAGCAAAAGATAAAATGCAAGATGAGTGATAATTTGCATGAAAAGGAAAGCACTGATAAAAACTGATAAAATGAGGAAATCAAGAAAAATGGAGAGTCTCTTTCTTTTAAAAAGACATCGTCAGAATTTTCAGTATATATATATATATATATATATATAGCATATATAGTATATATATATATTGTTTATTTTATTTTTTGATATTTATGTTCATATTTATTTATTCATATTTATATTTACATTAACTATTTTCATTTTTAATATCCAAGGGGAGGAAACGAACTCTTCTCACTACACTATCTATCACCAGAGTAATGTTGTTTCAGATGTTCGTCAGAATATTCAGTATATATATTTGTTTATTTTATTTATTGATATATATGTTCATGTTTATTTATTTATATTTATATTTATATTTACATTAACTATTTTCATTTTCAATATCCAACAGAGAGGAAATGAACTTTTCTCACTATACTATCTATCGCCATAGTATTGTTTTAGAAATTTAATTTGTTCGTCAGAATATTCAATATATATATATATATTTGTTTATTTTATTTATTGATATTTGTGTTCATATTTATTTATTTATATTTGTATTTATATTTACATTAACTATTTTCATTTTCAATATCAAACAGGGAGAAAACGAACTTTCCTCACTACATTATCTATCGCCAGAGTAGTATTGTTTAAAGAAATTAAATTTGTGTAAAAGTATGTTTAGATCCTGCAACATTTGTTTAGCTAATATCCTTTGACAAAATTATCATGCGAAATTAGTAATATTAAATATTGAAAAATTAAATTGTATGAGGAGTTTTTTCAAATTATGATTAAATAAATGTGTAATATTTAATCAGACAATTAAGCAAATATATTTACAGCCATTTTCGAATGTTAGTATTCATTCAGTGGTACTAACTGGTAGTACCAATTCTGACATGTTAATTTTGTTGCTCTAAACTACAATATATGAATTCTATTGATATACCGATCCATATAATCGAGTTTAAATTAAGGTAACCGAAATACATAATCTTTAATACTGTTATTGCTTATACATATATATATAAGCAATAACATAAGCAATATATAACCAATATATATATATATATATTGGTTATTTTTTGATTTACTTTAAACGAAATTTTGAGTTCTTATTGTCAAATTCATCTTTGCTTTCACTAATACCAATTATAAAATACAATTTTGGCTACTCGAAATATATAAAATCCATTTCCATATAATCTTTATTCTCATAATGGCATGAATACAATAAACGAATTAATATGATTCATAAACTGATCCCATAACACTGATAATCAAATCTTCACAGTATTAATTGCATAGTTTTGAAAAGGTCGTTTTCAAACGGAACCATCAAAATCGGACGAAGCACAGTCAACCATCTGCCAATTAATAATTATCGCAAAGCATTTAGCACCGTTGTCCAACTTCTTATTTTCAAACTCGTTCTCAAATTTCTCCCTCTTCTCAACAACTATAAATCTATTTCAGGAAGTTTTACTTCTCTTTAAACCATTTCATTATTATTTTTATCTTTTCCATCTTTTTATTTTGCAACTAGAATAGAAATAAGGGAGATTTTATCAGTACTTTATAAAATATTATATTCTTGCTTTTCCTCTTTTCCCACAAATTACACGTTCCATAAGATCCATAAGATAGCTTGCGAGAGGAACTAGGAAAGTGGCTATGACATGGAGTGAAGTACACAAAGGAAATGCACAAAATCTGACTATTACTACTACCACAACAACAATGATGACTATGATGACAATTGGTAATAATAATAACAGTAATAGTTATAATAATGATAATAATAATAATATTAATAATAATAATCACAGACAGTAACAATCACCATTCAATGAACGAAAGAAGATCAAATTTGCATCAAAAAAATTGTAAAACTTAGAGCAAATGATCAATAAAAACAATGATTTCTGGTATTATCTGATAAACGCATTATTTAACGCTAACAGCTTGAAGTCTTTTCCTTTTGAAGCTTTTTGCAAAGCTGATAAAAAGGATCAACTCTGAGCTAAGTTATACTTCCACAAATGAAATTATCAAATTCAAGAAAAATTTTTATTTGCCGCGAAGCAGCAAGACCATCTTAGTATAATACAGACGCCTTAAATATAAAATCTAATACTATAAAACACAGGTATTTCGTAAAAATATTATTCATTACACTTTTTACAATGAATCTGATAATAAATAGTGCTCACCGAAAAAGCAAGTCGTCAAATAAAAAAAGGTCACAATATTGCTATACCCGCAATGGTACCACAAACAAAGAATGCTGTAGTAATAGCAAATATTAAAAAAAATAAGTTAAGAATAAAAATAAGTAGATATGAAGAGGAAATATTCTAAAAAATTCTCGGACATTTGGACCAGTCACCAATTTTCTTCTCATTCCAGTATTCACCGGTAAATATATATATCAAAGCACCCGTTTCTTCGTGTTGATCTTTTTTAAACCACAATGGTTTATATTTTTCAAATGGTTCGCCTGAAACAAATTTTACTGAATTCCATTGGAAGTTTCAGAGTGAAAAATGTGCACCCTTCAATGAGTAATGAATTCAACTCACCTCCTAATAACCGACAAAATATTATTTCATAATAAACAGAACATAACTCGTAGAGTTAATCTCAGTGCAAAGAAGGCTCAAGAACTTCATTCAACTTCCAAAGGAATTTCACTGTAATGTTTTCTCAAATACATCATTTTCAAACAACTATGATGTCACCTGCCTTAAGAAACAGTAATGTGCTTCGCAAAAGGAAAATAAGCAATTTATCAAAGGAATTTAAAATAAAAAAGACAACAGAAAAAGGAATTGATAAGAAATACTTGTTTCACACACATACAAACACAAAAAAAGCATCATACTTTAAATAATTCGTAATGCTGAAGTGACAGGGAATACCTTTTTTTAAAGCTTTTTCCGCCAAAAGTTCTCGTTCTCGACGTGCAGCACGCTGCTTCTCTTCAATTTTTACTTTCATTTCATTTGCTTCATCCCATTTTCCATCTTCCATTAATCGTTGATCAGGACGAAGTCGCGAATCTGTTGGAGCTACACCTTCTTCTGGTTCATTTAATTCAATTGCCAACTTTGTGAAATAATACATCTTTTCACCATTTTCCCTGGAATTATAGCCACATAAGTTTAAATAAAAAAAGTAAACAACATGTGAGAGATTTCAAAATTATGGAAATCAGATAACTAATTTTGATTTATTAGTCCGAAAACCAGTGTTAAGATAAATACTAAGATGCTGCATACTACAGGATTAAGTTACTTTGCCGTCAGAATTATGACTTTTTGAACAGTTACAGTGCAGATATAAAGCTAGCTTCCATCTTAAAGTTGTGGCAAAGAAATTAAAAGTAAAAATAGGTTTTCTGCGAATAACATACACTGGCGAATTGATTGTCCAGATACGATTTGGTGCATCCGTCTCAAAGCGTGCGTTCTCAT